CACACACACACACACTACTGAATGAATGTTGGTGAGTGAAGTTATGAATGACTGACCTCAATGCTCCTCTTCTCTACTATCTCTCTCCCTGTCCCTCCTCCTTTTTCTCCCCTTCTTCTTCGTCCTCCTCCTTCCATCCAAACAGCGTCACCCCCCTCCCATCTCCACCTCCCTCCCATAGACTTCTCATGTATGCATCTGCAAAAAGAAGGCCATGGTAAGTAGTTAAATCTGTCCACACATCCACCAGTCCACCCATGCTTCCTTTCATCCTTTCTCGTTGATTTTTATTTTCTTCTATTGTGGTTGCTTGCTGGTTTAGACAAAGCACAGGAAGCTTTATTAATATATTCTCACATTTTAAAACGTGCTTTTAGGATACTGATTACAAATAAATCCCTGCATGCGGAACACTTTTCCCTCCATCAGATGTGATAACACAGCTGGTTCCTCTTCCCTCCTGCTGCAGGGTCACTGGGCAGACTGATCAGGACACCGTTCCTTTCTTAACACTTTTTTTCCTGCTCACTCTCGGTTTCTCAACCCTGTCTCATTATCTTTCCGGCTCCTCCTTCCCCTTCCCCTCCTTTCTCCCCCCTCGAATCAGCTCGTTAGCATAGCGCTGATAGTCAGGACACCGTTAATCAGGCGAAGAGTGAGTCAGCACTGAAGAAGAAAATTAATTTGTTGTTCAATGTATCAGCTCAGCGGCCAACTCCCAGGCAGCTTTTGTCTGTGTCATATTGACATGTACAGCATTTACCTCACGTGTAATACTCTTGTTAGCCAGGGATTACATTTATCATTTCTCGCCCTCCTTTCCTAACCTCTGTTAACTTTCTCTGACTCCCTCCTCTCTATTTGTTTCCTCCTCTCTGCAGACCCCGTCCCGGCTTACAAATCCTGGCAGGATGACAACGACAGCGGCGAGGCACAGCTCTCCCCGCTGGCCGGTCGCATGGTTCCCCTCCCACCGCTGCCCCTGGAGGAGGAAGGCGAGGAGGACGAGGAGGATGGAGGGCAAGATGCCTCCCCCTCCTCCTCCCGCTCCCACCCTCACCTCCTGGCACGCCGCTTTCTCGACTTTGGAGCGCACAGTGCCCAGCGGTTCCTCCAGCAGGACCCGGACGCCACCTCACCCACTAAAGCACAGAGGTACAATGAGCTGCAGACGTCCAAGCAGCTGCCATTACTACTACATGTAAAGGATTTCTGGGCAGTTCATTCATACTCGTGTTTCCTCCTCCTGTCAATCCAGGCCGCGGCGAGCATCATTTGGTTCCAAAGAGTCAATGAGAGGAGGAGATTCAGTGACCCACCAACTCACCAAGAAGCTTCAGCACCTGAAGAAGAAAATTAAGCAGTTTGAAGAGCAGTTTGAGAAGGAGAGGAACTATAAGGTAAAAATAAAATGTCTCGCTCCTCCTTCCTCCGTTGACTCATTCTGACTCCTATCTTTCTTTCTCTTCCATCTCTCCCTTTTTTTATATATAACAAGCCAACATACCATTGGGAATAAAGTTAATACAAGTGATCAACAGCTTGCAGGACAATTTGGTTCGTTTACAGTTTTAGAGTTCATGCTCTGACGTACCACTAAAACTTTTTAGTGATAAAGAAAAGGCCAAAATATAAATTGTATTTGTCTGTTGTAAATAGTGCCATAGCCCATAAGTGACTACAGCTAACTGATTGGAGAACAGAAACAGCAATTTATGAGGTTTGAAAGAAGACCCATTTAACAAATGAGTCAGTCTGTTTTATTCTGAAATTACTGACAATAAATAATTTCATGTTTTTACATAGAAACAACAGCCATTGAAATTTAAAGTAGCTGTTAATAAGATTTTTGCTTGATGCCTCGTGCTGAATCAGTCCTAATGACTAAATATTTATACTTTTTAAGACTTTATTTTCTATATTTATTTCTGTGTACAATAAGCTAATTAACACACCAACTCTTTCTCTTCCTCTGTCCGCAGCCCTCTCATGGAGACAAGGCAGCTAACCCTAAAGTCCTCAAATGGATGACCGACCTCACCAAGATCCGCAGGCAGATTAAAGGTAGAACCACTCGCTCTTATTCTTGTGAATGTGCATTTGTGTGTGTGTGTGTGTGTGTGTGTGTGTGTGTGTCGGGGTTAGATGTGTAGTGTTTGTGTGCCATCCTGTTCCATGCTGGACAGCTTGACCCTCTTCACTCAAACCTTTGACTTTTTTTAACCACATCGCATGTATGCTGGTCTAACACACACACACACACACAGCCACGCATATGGCAGGAGTTAAAGTGGCTCTCACATGCGTGGCTCCCACCCTCCAGTGTGCTGGTGCGTCCTTGTGAACCCACATTCATTACCTCTGCGGTGAATTTGGTAAGGTAAAACGGTGGATAAGACTTGAAGTTAAACACAAACCGTTAACAGCAAAGTATTTGGATATAAAAATGAATCTTGATAAAAGATTAATCTACAAAAATATAATATTCTTTATGATCAGAATTCAAATTAGGACTTCAGGAGTTTTTTTCCTTTGATAAACTGGTGTTTCTTGCCGGTCAGTGAGCCCAAACACAGGTATTAGAATTTAAAACATTAATTAACTGATTAATTAATTGATGACTACTGATTTCTACACTTTGACGTGTCTCTTGTGCATCGTTTCACCATTCTGAACGAACCCCATGACACTTGTCCACCTTCTCTATGTGAGGTGACGGCTCTCCTTTTCGGCGAACGCAGTGGCCGAAACATTTCTCTCTGTTTCAAATCAAAATTGAAAACAACAATAACGCGAGCACCCGCTCTCCACTTTCCTCCCTCCTCCTCCGCCCAACGACCGATTGATTGATTGATTGACCGATCGGCCAACCAGGACGCCAGCACCACCTTTTACCCAGAAGCACGCTGAGGCACCAGGCTTTGCTCCATTCATACAGACGCCACCATACTCCCTCCTCCTCCCCTTCCTCCTCCTCCTCCTCCTCCTCCTCCTCTATCTGCTCACCTCCCCATCACACACTCACCCCCCCGCTCCACCCCTACTCAGGCCTGAGCTCTAGAACGTATCACCTCAGTAAGTACCAACCCCTCAGTAAGTAGACAATACATACACTACTGACAGTCACAATGAGGCGCCATTGTGAGAGCATCTTGTTTCTTTGCTTTGGTGTTTTTCCTGTTGAAACCGCATGTTGGGACGAGACATTTAACCAGAAGATTCACCAGAAAGAGATCATCAGTTTATTACATTTTTTGAAGGGGGGTGTTTATCAAAAAAGAAATCTGTTATTAATTACTTACTATTTGCTGACCAGTTGTCATTGTGACTAAAACTGCACTCTAAAACTTCATACTGTGGGCATTATTCCAACATTATCACATAGGGGAAAGTGCTGCACATAATAAAACTTTTTTTTTTTGCTATGAATCTGTAAATAATATTTTAATTTATAGGAAACAACAGCACAATTTCAGTACAGTTGCAGACCTTTAACTACATATGCTTTTGCACAGGGGAAATGAATACACTTGAAATCATCATTGCAGAGTAATGTGATGCTTTATCTAGAGATGTCAGTATGTCTCATTCATATGTATCAGACTGGCTCAGGAGCTTTACAGTCAGACGCTGGTAGAAAAATGTTCAGGAAAAGGTTTTTGCTTGCTGTGTTCGGGTTTCGACTGTGTGTGGTGGTGTGGTTTTGTTCGGGGTGTATCTCTGTCTGAGCATGTTTTTTTTTCTCTTCATATTGTGACGGGCTGACTTTAACCACTGCAGCTGTCAGACTCCTGCATGTCTGATCATACAGTGAAACATGTTGTATGTGCTGTCTGACTGAAGATCTTCTCCCCATTCTCTCTCTCTCTCTCTCTGTAACGCTGTTCTTGTCCTGGTTCTTTCTCTTGTACTTCACCCCCTGTACCCCCTCCCCTTTGTTTCTCTGCTTTATATCTTTGCTCATCACTGTATTCCTCCCTCCCCAGATGCCAAACACCGTGCAGAGAGCGAGCTTGGACCCCAGACTCGTCCTCGGAGCAACACCTTACCCAAGAGCTTTGGCTCCACGCTGGACCAAAGCTCTTACAATGCAGCGGTTGAGGTCAAGGGTCAGCGTCCCACCCGGGAGGAGACACTGGAGCTGATCCAGTGCAGGGTCAAAGGGAAGAGGCAGGAGGATGGCTGGCCTGATGACATCAAGGTTAGTGGACATTTGTTTTTTCAGAGCCTGGAACAGGCTGTTAAACCCCCTGCACACCCACACAGGTTTTTTATTGTACTACTGCAACACAAAATACTTGGACTTTTGACATAAAACGTGTAGACATTACATTGAAAATGACGGTGTTTAACAGTTCGACTTGTGTTGCATAAGATTTCACAGTGTCAGTTGTCTGCTCAGTGATGCGCACTGACTGTGGAACATCACAGCTGTGCAACATAACAAGTGGAACAGTGTGGCCAGAGTGTGTTTAGTTAAAGGTTACATCACTATCACATGATTAACTGTCTCTGTCTCTGTAGAAGATGACCAAGGAGCAGTTGTCCTGTGAGAAGACGGTCCTACAAAAGAACCTGCTGCACTACGAGGGCCTGCATGGCCGACCGGTAAGTTACCAACATCCTAAATCCTGCCCAGATTTCATTTGTTTTGTGAAGCTGTGTTAAAACACTCATTTAAACGTTCTCTAAACAGTTTCTCTCTCTTTCTCTCTGTCAGGTGACCAGAGAAGAGCGTCTGGTGGTGAAGCCTCTCTACGATCGCTACAGATTGGTCAAACAGATGCTCACCAGAGTCAGCATCACACCTGTCACAGTACGTACACAACATCACATCTGTAACACTATATTAGCAATTTACTCCTGCTGTTATTTTAAAACTACACACACTGCGATGTTGTTGTAGACTGCAGTAGTTTTCACCAGGTGTACCGTGTAAACTTGAAACTGAATATAGACAACACTCAAACAATTTAAGTATCCATAAAGTACTCACATGCTCTCGTTGTTGCTCTCTTCCCCAGATGTCCCCCTCCAGTAAGAGGCGAACTCAGACCCTCCAGCCAATCATTGAGGGGGAAACCGCTCATTTCTGGGAGGAGATCAAAGAGGAGGAGGAGGACGAGCGGAAGGAAAGAGAAGGAGGAGAAGAAGATGAGCGGGAGGAGGAGAGAGATGAGGAGGAGGAAGAAGAAGAGGAGGAGGAGGGAGAGAGCAGCGGCGGGGAGATGCAGAGCTCCGAGGTCATAATGGCCGTCGACCTCATGACCCCGACCGACAGACCAGTGAGGAGCCAGAACCAACCTGACCAACAGAGCGACTGTCCAATGACAGCCAAGCTGGAGGAGGGGTCGGGGAGGCTGGCGCTGGACCTGCGGCTGTCCAGCTCCAACGCTTCGTCCATGTAAGAACACACACACACACACATGCTCGTGGTACACCTGTATCACATATCACTTATTTACATTCACATTACAATAAAATGAAAATAGTTTCCAACAATCGAATTCTCATGATTCTCATCTCATACTCATCTTCCTCATTAATAGTTCAATGGATAAACAATCAGTATTTCTTTTTAGAAGACTAAATCGTAAACATCATCAAACACGAGCTAAATGTACGGCGGCCAACAGACCAACAAACTGCCATGGGCAGATGGACGGGCAGCTGGCAAATTGCTCCTGCAGTAGTTCCCTATGCAGTTAGCTGTAATAGCTAATGAAGGGGGATACTTTCTGTGTTTGCTGTCGCTAGACTGTGAAATGCAGACTGTGGGTGCAAAGTTAGCATGTCCCACAGTCAGAATAATGAGAATAAGGCTCAGCTTGAAGCATTATGGATTATTCAGCTTGGGCAATGTTGTAGAAGTGGAGTTAATTAATTAATATCCGCTCAACCTCTGAGGAAGGAAAACAAGCTCTGATTATCTCCAACTTTGCTGACTGTGCAGACACAGGCAGGAACAACGCGAGACAGAAAACACACAGATTTTATCTGCTGAGTCTGTAATCTGGTTATTGTGTCACCGAGCTTGTAGCTCTCACGCACGCACACACACACACACACACACACACAGGCCTCTAATCTTCTTCATCAGATCAGGTTTGTACATCCACGTCTCTTACCTGGACATGATCCTGACAGCTGATCCCTCACTTCCAGCCCTCCTCTTCTCTCCAGACTCAATTCTTAATTTATGGGCTAAGATCTAATTGATTGCTGTTAACACAAATATTTTAAGTATTTTTGTGTTCCAGTCAGTGTACAGTTGAGAGAACTGTTTCATTATTTTTATGGCAGCATTTTTACAGTAACTGTGTTCTTGTGTTTCCCATCATCCTCCAGGCCAGAGCTGCTGGAACAGCTGTGGAAGGCCAGAGCAGAGAAGAAGAAACTGAGGAAGACCATCCGAGCGTTTGAGGAAGATTTTTATCAGCATAATGGAAGGTAGGTGTTCACGTGCACAGAACAAAATCCAGACTGTCCGCATCATGAATTCAGTGCAGCACAATCCGGTATGTCTATGAAAGTTGATCCAGTATTGTTAACCAGGAAGAGCACTACATTCATTGGTCAAAATAACCCGTGGAAATCAGAGTTCAGTTGAAATACATGCTGCAATTTTCGCATTTAATGTAGCTGTGTAAAGAACATTTTATTTTTAGGTATGAGTCACTGTAAGTTCCTTGCAGCTTAAAAAGTCAAGATTTAGACCATATATGTCCCGGAAAGTAATCGCTATGACAGATTAGGGGATCAGGATGCCTTAAATTCCTGTCAGACTACATGTTGAACCCCAACCACAACCTGCATGAGTTGATAATGTGATCAGGCAGGACCGGCTAGAGGTAGACTTTGGCATCAGGAATGTCAACTACTGTGGTCGAAAGTATCGCGGAGGGAGCACATCGTAGAACCAAAATAATTCTGACGTGTCTTTTGCGAGGCGTCCTTGTTCCTTTTCGAGTCCACTGACTTCCACTGTGAGACATACAAATGTCAGATGGTTGACAGATTGCCGTGTCTGTCAGGAGAGAGCTGATAACTGCCTTTATTTGTGAGCAGCCCCACAGAGCTCTTAGGCTCTGGGACAGTAAGTGTGTGTCATTCTGGAGACTTCTTCAGAAATAAAACCTGTTCTCCTCTGTCTCCCTCCTCTGCTGTAGAAATGTTCAGAAGGAGGACCGGGTCCCGATGCTGGAGGAGTACCGGGAGTACAAGAGGATCAAGGCCAAACTCCGCCTCCTGGAAGTTCTCATCAGCAAACAGGATTCCTCCAAGTCCATCTAGACCCCGCCCGCAACCCCTCAGATACTCGCCATCACGGCACACATCAGCTCTTATCACCGCTGCGAGGACCCGCCCAGGGTGTCCCTCAGTCTGTCAGACGCCATCACACCTTGGAGGACTTAATAAACACTCCAGCATCATCGTCACATGACTTGACAGGGAGTCGACATCAAGACGCTCAGTCAGACTTCATGTCCACGACTTGGTGTGCTGCATTTATGTCATGGAGGAAAGTAAATTAGAGTGACTTGCTGGTTCAGAGTTACTTTGGGAAATTGAACTTTAAAGTCAGTAAGTTAGGATTTAACTGAAACACTTAAACACTGTTTGTAGTTCCAGGACTTCACCAGTGCAGGACAACTTTCAGTGATGTTTTGAGGGACTCAACCTTATTATAACTACAGAAACCAAAGCAAAGGTTTGGTTCTTGGAGTATTCAACTAGCACTGACTGGTCAAGAGCTATGTGTACAGAATCCATTCAGACTGCAACCAAACACTGGTTGTTGCTAGTATCAGTAATCAGATTAGGGATGGGAATTTTATTTTGACCAGTAAAAAAAATAGTTAAGTAATAAGTAAGCAGTAAATTAAAAAGAACAACATGGTGACTGTTGTCTCATGGCATACAACAACTCAAATGGGTTTTAATACTTTAATCTTTTGGCGAACAAGTTCATGACACTTTGGTCCTGGGACTATTGAATCCCCATTAGTGAGCGATATGCATTGAAGTGTCGAAAAATACACATTTTAAGTGCAAAAAGGGCAAATTTTAAGCATTTTGTTCACAAAATCACTTAAAATCATTACATTTGTTTGATAAATACATGATTATCTATATGTAACTACAGATATTTTCCTTGCCTGTGATTTCAGATTTCAGTAATGTGGACATTACAGTCTCTGAGGTTAATTAACCGCTTTAAAGGGTCACGTACATTTTTACAGCCATTTACATGTTTCATGAATGCAGCACCACCACAATATAAACTTAAAATCACTCCTGTCAGCCACAACTGATCTCTGCTGCCTCGTCTGACTGCGAATTGTTTCAAAACAAGGAGAAAAAGGAATCATCTTCACTGTCTGTCTTCATCATCGTCCCACCAATGTTGACTCGAGACTTTGCACTTGTCTTCTTATTTCTTCGACTTGTGAGAAAAAAAAAAACCAACTTTCTGACTTTTTAATTTCAAGAACTTTTCTTGTGTTGACTTTTGTTTCTTCATGTTGATTTTTCCTTCAGCAGCTTGAGGCATTTTAGACTCTTCACTCAAGACACCTGTTCTTTCTTTAGGACGTCGCACTGTGTGAAAAGTCCCTCTTTTCGTCTCGCTCCGGGGGGCCGCGGTTTCTCTAAGCAGCCTCTTTGGTGCGAGGTGATTGGTTATTTTATTCTGTCAGTAAAACTTTATTTAACGTCCTGAATGCTTCACCTTCTGACTGATTTTAAAATTCATTCACAGGTTTAAAAACAAGTTTGTTCGTGTATTCTTGTTAAAAAAAGAAGTGTAGACATACATGTTTGTGAGACACTGCTGTTCATGTTTATCTTGAATGAAAAAGAGTACGTGTTGTATTCCAAGAGAAAATGGAAAAAAAAAAAAAAAAAGTATTAACTCCCAGTGTGAGCTTGGAGAAATGCCTGTTTCTGATTTTGCTTTTCATTTATTTCTGTTCCTCAGCATTTCCTTTAAGTTTTTTGGCAATATTTGTCAGTAAGATGTTCACTAGGTTGGCGTACGCTGGTGTTTGCAAAGTAACTTAGTTTCCCATGAGCCTCTTGCAAAAAAGAAAATGCTGCTTTTAAGTCCCCTAAGCTCAGACGTCTGAGTTTTGAAGTCATATGCTCGTGATTTTGATATTTCTGACTGCACTTAAAGGCAGCATTAGACTGAAGATGCTCATAGGGAACATTTCTACTCAGATTAAGAGATTTTATGATGTTGTCTGTTGACTTTTTGTCTCTCCATTTGTTCAGTTTGCTGCATGGAGGCGTGTTAGTTTCTGAGGGATTATGGGTGATAAATGCTGAGGAGAGGAGCCAGTATCTGGTCCCTGCTGCTGCTGCTGCTGCTGCTGCTGCTGCTGCTGCTTCTTCTCTGAAACCAAAAGCATGTTGGCTACAGGCAGTGTCAGTCTGACGGTGTGTTGAATGTCAGTGACGACGCAGTCAGCAGTTGCTGTGCAGCTGATGCGACTGTTACTGACGTTGGTTAAAGTTTGAATGTAGCTTTAAAGGCTGTATTGTATCAATGAGGTGCCAACACTGCCAGCACTGATTTCAAACACAGAGAAGTGACTCCGTCTGTGGTTCACTGATATTTTTCCCCAACTGGCGAGTCAGTGCGGAGGGTCTGATTAGTATGTAGCATGATGTCTACGATGCTGAGAGAACACAACAACAACCCTCGAGCTGTGTTTCTCTTCGGTCTAACCTGCAGTCCCAGTGAAGTTTCATTTCCTGCTGGCAGGTAAAATGAGGGCAGGTGAGGAGGAGAACGTTTGAGGTGTGGTGCATGCCAACGAGCTTGTTCTCTTTGTTTATCTTCTTCCTCTCCGTAGAGGCCATGTTGTCTTATATCAGATAGGAGTCAAGATGCCACAGTGTGATGTGTGTAAGTTATTACACCGGCTGTGTTGGCACGTGAAGTTCTATTATCAGAACCTCTTTGGCTCGTTACTTGTGAGATGTTTAAGGCCGATAAGACAAAGTAGTACTTTTTTTTTTTTTTCTTTGCTGAATTGATGTACATTTAACTGCCAGAATCAAAGCTGACCGCAGTCTTTTTGTCTGTCAGTGGACGGCAGATGAGATGGTTTGAAATCAAAGTTTTGAGTGAGTCAAGAGTTGAACTTTTTGTGAGTGCTTGTGAAGAACACGATGGAGGTGTTTGTGTTTGTCAGGACGGTAAAGTTCGGAGGTTTGATGTAAATAGATGTTATTTGCACAGCATTCACAGAATGCAGCCCTTTTGTGTTTTTTCATTTGTATTTCTAAAAATGAAGCACTACTTCTATACAAATATAAATATATACTGTACATAAAAAAAACACCCGAAGGAATGAATGTCGGAAATGTTTAAATTATTTCAAACATTACGTTTGGCCCCCTTTGGTTCATTATATTTGTGATGCCCTGAGAATGTGTTTTTTTATTATTATAAATATTGCTATTACTATCATAACCATTATTTTGTGTGATAATGACAATAATAATAACCCTTTTGTATCTACTCACCAACTGTAAAACCAGCTGTAGAAGTTAGTCGGGCACTGTGTGTGACTAATCAAACATGAACCTGCTCTGTTCTCTGATTTCTTTTGTCGCTCTGTGTAATATAAGCTAATATAGAAGCAGTACTGTAGTGAGCTTGCATGGCAAAAGAGAACATAATAGTATGAATAACACGATGTATTGTTTCTATTATTTGTGCCATGAAGAAGCAGCAATAATAAAAGTTTGCGTGGAGGTTTTACAGTATCGGGTAATGATGGGTGGGACCGACTGTGTGTGAATATTTGAGGTACATTGTTATTTCTTTATATATTTCTATTATAATTGTTTTCAGACACACATTGTCTCACACACACACACACACTGCTCAGATGGTGTGTTTTTACCACTGTTGTCAGCTTAATGTTCATGTTGGCGCTGCTGAAAAACCAAAATAAGAGTTTAAATTAAGCAGGATGGTGAACAGGGATTGAAAAGCCAATGACAGATGTGTCATATCTGAAAACATTCCAGTTTTATCATCATTCAGAAAGTGGAAACAATCCATCGTCAGTCTCTGAGTGGCTTTGATTTGACTTTTTCTTTTTTTTGTGAGTCTCCAACAACGGTGAACAGTTGATTTGTTTGGCGCCTCAGTTTCTTACTTTTGTTTTTCATTGTGCCTGCAACAGAGTGGTAAAATTCACGTGGTTCATACGTTGTAAACTGTAAATGTATTCTGTCTCTGTCAGTGTACAGTTGTTTCCTCTCACACTCACCCATCCAACATGCATGGTTGTTTCACACGCCTGGAGTTCGCAGCAGAAGTCGCTGTCGAAGATGTCTCATAGGTCAGAGCTCCTCCTGGAAATCTTGAAAGAAAATGACCAGTTTTTTGGTCAAAATGGCAACAGATGAGATAAAAGATATTTTACAAGTCTGTAAATGGATTTTTGAGTAAAGACAGTCTTTAAATCTTTAAAATTTAAAGGACAAACGGTCATGTTGCTTACAGGTGTGATTAAGAAAGTTAGAAATCAGATACTTCCTGACATCTTTGATACTGGATTTTGCTGTTAATTCCTCTGACCAGCGAGGTTCTTGCTTACTCTAGGTCACCTACATGTGAAACTGTGTTTTATCACATCAATATATTGTATGTACGTATGTATCTATAAATGTTTTCTTACTTTGTGAATGCTTTTTTTTCTGTTGTTTCTTCATTAACAAAAAAGATGAGAAAATACAATCAGTAACAAGCATTTACACATGAAAATAAAATTTACAAGCTTGCCACATCAGTTATCTTGCTTCTTGAGTTAAATGAACCAAAGTAACAGAACGTATTGTCTGTCAACCTACCCTGTATAAATAAAGGTAAATGATTAAAATATTAGATATTATGGACAAATACTTGAAAGATATCTATGATACAGCGGTAAATAATGTTCTTAGCAAGCTGGGCCAAATGCAGAGCAATAGACAAAAGACTATTAATTTAAAAAGAGGACCAACTACAGTGAGCGCATATTTGTGACAAGCACTACCAGGGCTTTGTTATTCCATTCTCATCTAAAGTAGAAATGTGGTGGCCTACGTAGAAGAGGACCCACTAAAAACAGCAGGGGCGGGTGGACATGGAGACTTTAAGTGATGTTAAAAATACAATCATATATATCAATATTTGCTTGGAAAAGCCCCCAAATCTTAACTAAAAAACATAAAATTATTGTGGCACATTAGTAAAACGTTGAATAGAAATATTTACATTTGGTATTAGAAATCAATACTTTGTTTAATTTCCAAATCTTTACAAATACATGCCTTTTTATGCCTACCACTGAGTCTAAAATGTGGCCATAACAGAAGATTAAATTGTATGTGTTAATAGCATTTGACACCAAACAGGGTGACAGCTGGGAGGCAGCTGTCACTCCCTCTAGATCTGCCCCGGAGGAAAAGGCTCAGTGTAAGGTAACGAAAACACAACAGTCCTTATTTTGATGATTATACAATAATGAAAACATACATATCAATATTATATTCAATTTCTGCCAATAGATCCTCCTAAATAAAACACACTGGACCTTTTAACTCTTATATTTCACTGTTTGTCTTTGATGACTTCATTTTTATTCCAACACATCTGCAGTTTTGTGAAATGAACTTAATAAGCAGTGTTTCTAATTTTGATGGTTACTTTAACCTTAAGTTTTCATTCACTTCCTGTAATGGTGCAGCACACTGACTAGTAAACAGCGCCCTCTAGTGGACAACAGCAACAACACACCTGCCTTCACTGACTTAAATTACTTAAAATACTTTCATTGCAGCATTTTTCATATATATTTAAAAACGTGTGCATTCAAATAAAGTAACTGTATTATTACTGGTTAATAATGTGGAAAGCACAGGTGTTATTAATAACACTGATTATAGCTGAGCTCCATTTTGAGTTCCTGATACTGTTCATACTGTCACAGAGCGATCAGTAATGCTATCAGCTTTATGACAATGTCTCCAAAAACTGAACTAATAAAATGGCCACTAAGTGTCCTTTAATTAAATAATGTTGGACATTAAATAGTACATTTAACTATTTTTGGGCTAATGAAAATCACAACTATCCAGTGGTAACCAGGCAGCTCCACCACCATACTCACATGTAGACTTCTGTCGTATTAACAACCAGCGGTGGAAGAAGTATTCAGATCTTTTAGATTAAGTAGCAATAACACAGTGCAGGAGTACTCTGTTACAAGTAAAAGTCCTGCATTCAAAATGTTACTTCAGTAAAAAGTACAAAAGTATTAGCATCATTAATTTTTGTTATCTTGTTGGAAAGTATCTCATAAGCACTGTTGCAGTACCGCAGAATAATTAAGTAGAATATATTGTCTACAATTTGCTAAAGTCAACCATGATACGTCCTTATTCTAAAGAATATGAGTATAGTATAATTAAAGTATCAAAAGAAAAAGTTGTCTATGCTGAATGGCCTGTTTCAGAAAATGTACATTATATTATTGGATTATAAATACTGATGAAATGTGAGGTCGAGGGTAATTGATTACTTTTACAGGTAGTCTAATAATAATAATAATAATAATAATAATAATAATAATAATAATAATAATACATGATTCTTTGTTGGTTATATATTATGTTATTCATCTGAATCTGCACACAAACATCAAACCAAGGTTATAATGCACCAGAGTTTATTCCACTCTCCCCACAACACTGTGCCCGAGGTTGCTGTGGCAACATGTGAACTTATGATGTAATGCGTAGCCAAGGAAACCAACTTTTCACAAGCTAAAAATACAGCAGAGCGTTTCCATGTAAACAGCACATGTAAAAAAGAAAGGTTTGTGCTAGTAGGCTGCTAATAAATAAACCTTTATCCTGTCAGTAATGATATTAAACACACCTCCTCTCTACAGGAAACCTCAGTTTCAACATACATCTGTAAACAAATACACTGCCAAGTCATCATATAGAAAGACTCACCTGTTTCTGAGCTCCTTACGGCACTACAACCCTCCAGCAGCCCAGACTGAAACAACCACCCAACATTAATACACTGTAGTAAGTTTATTAGGATTGTTATGTAAACACTCACATATGGACCTGCATGGTTCAGCACTACGGACAGGTCAGAGAGTCGCTGATTAACTGTAGCTGTCAATCAATCATCAAAGAGCAGTACTGCAGATTTCAGCTTATATCTCATTATTAATGACATTTGTAATCTGATGACAATCATCTCCATAATGAACAGATTGATGATTTTAAGTCTCCTTTCTTTGTGCTACACATCACATGACCTGGCATCAGTTCAGCAGCTGTGTGGAAAGAGTTTGTGGTGACTTTTAATGCAATGCATTTAAAAAAGATGTTACAATGACAACTTCGAGGGCGCCCCGATAGCTCGCCTGGTAGAACTGGTGCTCCCAAATACCAAGACTGAGTCCCTGCTGCAGCGGCCATGTTCCACTGTGACCTGTGGCCCTTTGCTGCGTGCCTCCCCCTCTCTCTCCCCCTCTCTCCCGCCCTCTCTCCCTCCATGCATCAGAATATACTCAAAGTACTCAGTATGTAGACTGGCCCATTATGTTACTGTAGTTATCAGTGTATGTGTGTGTACGTGTTGCAGCTGGTAAAGCTCTTTTTAATGAGTTCTCATACTGCTGGGCTGCTTGTGAATTAAATAAAGTGTCTCAACCTGGAACAATACATCATGGTTTATTTGTTGGTTATACTTTGTTTTAAATCTGAATCTGCAAAGTGACTGAAGTTGTCAGATAAATGCAGTGAAGTACTAAGCATATTTTAAAGTATTTCCCTGTAAAATATAGTGGAGTGTGAGTATAAAGTATAAAAATACCAGTACTGAAGTATTTTAGAATTGTACAGCGCTTAGTTACTTTCCAACAACTCTAATCTCTAATATTATAGGATATATCGAGGATGCACACTTATGATTTAAATAGTTTCCCACTGTCCTTAATATATATCGTCATGATATTTACTTTTACTTAATGTTGGATATTATTCTGCATAATGAAACTGTTACTGATATTTCACACAGTGTCTGATGAAGGTGTATCAGAGATCCTAACAGTGACACAGATCATATAAACCACCTGTGTGTGTACTGCTGCGTAGCTTCACAATGAACAAAGGACACATTAAACTTGGCAGAACTCTGTTGTGCTCTTAAAGGAAGATCCCTGTGTTCACGTTATTCTGTCCAACACAAAGTCAGCTTTTATGTGCCAGAAGATGGAAGTTCATTTCATATAAAAAAAGATCCTAAACGCATTTTTACAATTCCAGACAAAGCAGCACAAGTCAGTTTAGAGCATTTTCTTTTTGCAAAGTAAGCCTTTGTTTTTTTTGTTTGTTCATTATTTCAAGTATGAAGGTTTACAAATCATCTGTAAGTACAGTGCACAAACTTCAACCTTCACAGATCCCCCGAACACACGTCAGTCAATGAACTCACAATATCAACCGTTTAGTTTACGACACCCACAGTTTATGATATTAAAAATATAACATCTGCGCTTAGTAAGAACTTTACTCGTCTGAAAACTGCGAGGAGCACACCTCCTCAACAACTCACTTCGAGGTGCATTTAGCAGCTCTTCTGGGGCTCACCAGCTGAGGTTTAGGTTGAGTTTACTTTTAATGCGGTGGAGAAGTCCCGAAGGTGCTCAGGATAGCGGATGCTGAACATCAACGACTCCACGATAATTCAGCAAACTCAGTCTGCTAATGAAGGCCATGTGACACGGTCAAAAGCTCCAGAACAGCTACTAAATGGACCTTGTGGTGAAATTCTGTTTTTCTACAAGGTCACACATGAACTGAACTTCAACCATACTGGTGTTTTTTTATGTTTTAGCCGATCTACATTGAATTGCATACAGTTATAACTTACTGTTATTGATTAACACATTTTCCCTACATTCCAGGCGGCCACTGGTTTCCATTTTATTAAGAAACTATATTAAGTTAAACTAACAGAAACTTGATTTGCTTCAGATGACTCATGCCAGTGAACAGAGCAGTTGTAATTTATAGCAGTAATGCAGTGAAGAAAGTATAGATTGTTCCCTCTGGTACGTTCAGATGCTGATGGGAGGCTCTAACACCCAAAGCTGTGCTTCCAATCACCCCCTATCTGCTGCCAAGTGTATTTACATAACTTCCAGTTGTTCAAGTGCAATTTATGCTCCACACACACTCCCTAAAACATCCCCACAATGGAAGGAAAACAGAACAAAAAAGTAGTGTTCATGGTGTAAACCGTAATTAAAAATCCCATATTTCTCCTTTGACACGACATCATCTTCATCAGTGATAACATAGAATAATCTTATAGTGTACGAACTACTGAGTGTCTATAATGTAGGAAATAGAGAATGAATTAATGCAGAGAAGAAGAAACTGCTAATATGACTGTTTACCTCTTGATTGACATAACTGGTGCATGCTGCAACAGTGTGCTGCAGTGGACCTCTAAATGTGCCTATAATGCACTTCCTGCCCCCAGACACATGAACACACCGTACAATCCACACCATTTACCTGCATCACTGCGCCAAGATAACTAGCAAACAATGTAAACTAATGTAAACTAGGATCTGGAGTGGTGCACACGCTGATGTTGCATTACATTGCATGTAACTGTGTGCTCCAGACCTCAGCACTGCCGCCCCCAACAGTCCTGTCTGTGGCAGCAACATGAGTCCAACCCTGGAGAGTCCCTTAAAGAACTGGACTATTCACAGTGATCACTTACAGCATCTCGAGTGAGTTTCATACAGTAATCTGAAGTGAACTTCCTGGAAGACACTAATCAATCTAACTGAATGGTTTGTATTAATAAGGTTTGTATTAACACGGTTGGGACTAATGTAGAACACATGACTTGTAAATTGACTGAACATACAAAAACAACAGTATGGTTTTTTTTTTTTTTAGGCGTTTTATATACTTATTTGTCATCACAGCCGAACGCGTCCAGTTAACTCCAGGATTTTTGGAAGAGTGCAGGCAGCAGTGAAAGGCTGGCTGAGGACACCTTTCATAAAAACAGCTTCTATTAATCTCTTTTTCTTCAAAGCTATGGCACCAGTCAGTCCACTAAATAACTACACCTAAAATATACCCACTATCATCTGGATGAATATGCGTAGAGCACAAGTGTAACACGAGGCTGAGAAAATGAAATGAGAACCTCACTTTGTTATGAATAAATGCTGTGGGATCAATTGTCCCAAAACAATAAATAGAAAATCTTAAACTTGCATCTTTTACATTAGAACTGTGCAGCTGAATGTCTACAGTGCATTTTGACACACTCCCTTAGACAATGAACACAAACAATTCATCATTTCAGAGATTAAAAAAAAAAACACCACGTGAATCTGTTTGTCCTAACTGGCACTTTTTTCTCTCTTTTCTTACAATTTCGGATGAAATTATTGGCCTTTGAGTGGTGCGTTTAAATGCTCCAATGAGTACGGTCAGTAACGGAGACAGACAGCTGAGCAGCCGTCTGTCTGACAGCAGGTCAGTGAGACGGGCCGACGTCTGGGCCAGCCAATCAGTGAGTCAAACAGCCAGCCTGCCGGTCTGTATCAGTCAGTGCAAGTGATCAGTGCATCAGTAGTGTGTCGACAACAGAATCAAGTCCTACTGCGTCGAATGGGATCAACCAGCCTGGGTCTAAAGCCACAGCAGTGGTTCTCTAGCTCTTTAAAAACAATCTCAAAAATATTAAATATGACGGCTGATTTGCATATAAGATGTTTTTCTACATTCTTTATATTATCTTCCATGTAGTTCAACAGTTGGACCTGCTGACGCTCGGCACGGGAATCAAACTGGGTTCATTTCTTTAAAATCAAGCCGAGCAAACAGTTGCCATGAGCTGATTTATGTTTTAGGAAACTGCGGAAAATCTCATAATTAAAAAAAAAAGAAAGGCTCCAATGGCGTGCCCAGGTAAAACCTCATCAGTATTCAGGTTCCCAGGTTTGATACGGTCCATCACATGAACGCCACAGAGCATCTAAAGCACTAAAGTCCAGCGTCTGAGTTAGTCTTCTGTCAGCTGATACAGCCACTTGTTATGTGCTTGGCATTTGAAAACTCACCAAGACAAAGTTCTTATAAGCCCACCATCCTGTGGCTACTGTTTCTTATCCAGTGCAACAACGTCCTTCAAAGTCAGGATCTCACTAATGGAAACTGGCTTGAAGCAACAAAAAAAGTCTGGCCGCGGTTTAGCGCCAAAAAACTCTTTAAAAAACGCATCCTTGGTTATTAAGTCAGCTGTGGACTGAGGGCGTCCCGTCCATTTGGACTGCGTTTTAGGCGTCTCTTCTCCGTTTGCATGGTGAGCTTCAGACGTCAGTGCGAGTCTCTGTGCGAGCAGCTTCCGCAGTGCGAGGGCCCTCGTCATAATGGCTTGTCAATCACTGCGACTCCTGTAGGAGAAAATGAAAGAGTGAGTGAGACAAATCATAAACGGGTTAAATGGGAACTCAGTCATATTAATGTCTCTCTGTGACGTAGAAATGAGCAGACTTACCAGCGTAGCTGCGTCCGTTGCTCATGTTTGTGGGAATGAGGCTCCACTTGTCTGTGGCCGGGTTGTAAAACTCTACTGAGGAGAGGTTACAGGAGCCGTCGTCTCCTCCAATGACATACAGCAGCCCGTTAATGGCACAGACACCTTGAGGAGAGAGTGGTACACATTTAACCACTCTGACAAACCCTTATACACATGCTCACATGCTTATGTGTTCATCAGGACAAAGTAAAAGGTCATTCCTGTGTTCTTCCAAACCTCTTACATACAATGAACTTATCTGATCTAAAAGACCAACACAGCAACCTTGCCTATCACTAAATCACCAGTTCATATGAGGTGACACACACACTGTCAGCACAGACACATGCACTGATAGGCAGAAAAGAAAAACACACTCACTCTTTCATGTGCAGTAAATGAAACACACATTAAGATTAACATCTGCCACTGGACGATTGTAATTACTAAACAGGAAACTAACTGTAGCTTCATGATTTTGATCTTAGCTTGTGGAGTGAAACCGATATAGAGATCAATAATGTGCCAGCTCCTAATTACATACTTCTGTTTTAATCAATGAGCTAGCGTTGCCTAAAGAATGGCTCCATTACAGGGGATCATTCATCTGTTGGACAAGTCTTTCAATCACAGGATCAAAAACTCAAGCGGTCATCTGACGGATGGCGTGCGTCCGTGGTTGTTATCTGACCTGCGTTTCGTCGGCACATGTTCATGTCACAGACCAGCCTCCAGGTGTTGGTCTGTGGGTCGTACACCTCGACGCTCTTCCTCACCAGTGGACCGTCATGTCCTCCTGCTGCATACAGTTGACCGCCCAGCACACCCACCCCTGGACACACACACACACAGAGGAATCAATGTGAGCACAGATGAGTTATAGTGTTGTCTTGACACAAGAATTAAGATATTAATACAGAATATAAAACAGTGGATAAATAAATGTTTTTTTGCAAGCAAGCGGGTAAAACTTTTCTTCATACTGTTAAGGCGAGCTCTCATTTTGCTCACTGTAATCAAACGTAACAGTTGAGTTCTTTCTAGGATTGTACAATTGCAGCCAATGTCCACAGGGTGGTGCTGTTGCTCCACAGGGAACTGTTGGCAAAAGCTCAACCTGCCTCATTAACTAGAATACAGTATGTACGTTGTGTGGCTTTGAATTAACTGGGGTAATCTTGTTCTATATATAGAGTCAGTGTCAGGCTCACATACATTGCAGCTGGTACAGATGATCACAAATAACAGAAAAATAATATTAAGATAATATTAATTAGTAAGAAACGTCAAGAAGCACTAGTTACAGTTAAAAAAAATATTGTTTTACTGCTTGCTGTGTGTGTGTGTGTGTGTGTGTGTGTGTGTGTATACCTGCTCCACTGCGCCGTGTGCTCATGTCAGCTACATAGCACCACTGATCAGTGACAGGGTCGTATTCTTCCACTGTACTGAGGCACTGACGGGATGCTCCATCATAGCCTCCTACTGCATACAACTTACCTGTAGACAGACAGACAGAGTTGTTTAAAACAGGTTACATTTGAATTTTGGCTTTTCACTGAAAGAGCATATGATGTAACCCAGGTCAGACGTCTCACCATCGACCACCCCGACACCCACGCTGCTTCGTCGTGTGTTCATGGAGGCTACATACATCCACTCGTTAGTTTTATAATTGTAGGACTCTACTGTCGACAAACCTGATACAGACACAGAGAGAGAGAGAGA